ATACCTGAAATTTTAAATAACAAGAAGGAATATTAGTGTAAGGTGACCAGATTTTAACATTGGTAAAGCGGGACACCATTGATGGGGGTGGGGGGGGGTGTTCTTAATTAAGAATTTGGTCTATATGGAGCAACAAAAATTTTCATAGAACACAAAAATAGTATTGTAATATATATTTTTAAAATTTCAACATAAGTACAATTTACAAATATAATACATTAAAAAAAATCATGTATAGGGCAGCACCTATGGCTCAAAGGAGTAGGGAACCCAGTAGTCCACCTGGGTGACCTTGCCCAGGAGGGGAGTAGGGAGTTTACATAGCCTTTTCATTTCCAAATGAAGTTACATTAACCTCTTCATTCCCAAATGGAGTTACATTAACCTTTTCAGCAGCCAAGCTGAAAACCCTTTTCCCTTCCTGTTGTCCCACCGTTCCCTAGCTTGTTGTGCATTCTTTCCAAAAATCAGAACTTTTTTAAAATGCCACGGGATGTGGGACAAATTGTTAAAAATCAGGACTGTCCTGCCAAAAGCAGGATGTCTGGTCACCTTATATTAGTGGAACCACTGTTCTCACAGTTTCCAAAATAAGAAATTTAGCCGTATATTGAGGCAGAGCCTCGTTAAATATCCATAAGCTACCTAGGAACCGATTCAAGCTTATCCTTCCGGTGGGCTTCCAAAGAGCCTCCCCTATCACATTAATTACTCCTGTGCCATTCAGCCACCACTTTGGCTCTTAACAGCTCAAATCTCCTCCTCCACCCTCTAGCACAGTGATTTTCAACCAGTGCATATGAAAAAATCTTAGGTGTGCCAAGAAAATTTTTAAACATCATTCACTAAATTATTTTCAAAAGAAGTTCAAAGCACAGTATGCTCTTTTTTTCACTCATTTTTCTTTGATCAATTTAATTAAATTTGATTTAATTTAAGTGTGCTGCAGAAGATTAACTATGGGTTCAAGCATGCTGCAAGACAAAAAAGTTTGAAAAACACTACTCTAGCATGTTTACTGCAAACAATCTATTGCTATATTGTCTTCATTGAATGCCTTTAACCCTACTGCTCCTGTACTCAAAAAAAATGTCAGCATCTAAAGCCCCATGCCAATCTTCAGTGCCTCTGTCATCTGCTTCCATCTCAGCCCTCTTGCCTGATTTCTCAAGCTGCCCCGGTACCTTTCTATTTCTTTTTGGTGTTTTGCACCTTTTTCACATTACTGCTCCCTCCCACTAGCTCCACATCTTCTGAAAATGACACACCTCAAATTCCCCAAGAGAGGTATGACCCCAAATATAGGTTATACCACTGTCCAACTACATATCAAATTATATGCCCCAGTTTTTGGTTTAGAAAGTAATGCCTCTATTTGGGGCATCTGCCTACATTATATAAAGTACAATCGCCTAAACATATAGGTAATGCCTATATATCTTTGGTTTTAAAAAAAATGTGCATGCCCATTCATGTTCAACTACCCAACCCAATCAAGTCTGAGCTATTGAAATCTCTGTTCTCCCTGATCTTCTTATTTCTCTGAATTCTCAAAAGTCATACAGTCTGGGTCTCATACTGGATTACTCGGCAATGGACTTTTTTCTAGTTGTTTTGTGGGCCCAGTAATATCTCTTATAGTACAATCTTAAGATCAAGGACCATATCTCCTTTGGTATTAATAGAAATCATCAAGTCTTAGGCAAATAGAAGGTTCTTAACAAATACTTGAATGTTTAATCCATTTATGAGGTTCGAGTAGTAATTGTAAATGGAAGGGGGAGAAATTTTTCTGGAACTTTTCTGGTTGTCTGGTGAGGCGAGGAGCACCCAGTACGCTGCTAAGCATTCTGTAACAAACAGGACAGCCACCCACAACAAAGACTTCTCCAATCCCAGTGGGGCCAAGGTTGAGTGAAAGTACAGAAACTCTGAGTTATATAAAAGTAAGAAAAAGGGGGTTGCTTATTAATTTCAGAATCAAGGTTTTGAGGCATTCTCTAAAGATAATGTCCAATTGTGATTGAACATGACAAGTCCCTCTCCCAGCACAAGAATGAAATTCTGTTGGAAATTTTATCAGCAACCTAGAAGTGACAGAAGGTACTTCTCAGTTTGTTGACACAGACCTGAGATAGCAGAGTCAGAATTCAAAAGCCCTCAACAGTCTGGAACCATGCACTGAAGCAAACTGATTGAAACTGAATAGAGAAGTAGATACAGTATAGATTTCACATGCAAAAAATCAATTGCATGACCACAGAATCAGGAAGGCTGATTCTAGCAGCAGATCATGCAAGAAAGACCTATATACACATAATTGTATACACTTATGATATACAATTTGATGTTTCTATACATGTGTACATTGTATAATGATCAAATCAGGGTAGTTAGCATATCCGTCACCTCATGCATTTATCACTGCTTTGTGATAAGAACATTCAAAATCCTCTCTTCTGTTTTATAATGTACACCTTACTGTTGACGATAGTAATCCTACTGTGCAATGGGACACTGAAACTTACTCCTCCTGTGTAATTGTCCCATTGTACCAGCTGGCCAACCTCTCATCCTCTTCGCTCCCATCCCCTCCTGAACTCCTGGTAACCACTGATCTACCCTTTACTTCCATAATATCACCTTTTTTTTTCAGATTCCACATATGAGTGAGATCATGTGGTATTTATCACTTAATGTCCTACAGGTTCATCCATCATGTCTCAGATGACAGTACATCATTCCTTTTATGGCTGAATAGTATTCCATTGTGTAGAAAGACCACATTTTATTCATCCATTCTTCCGTTGTTGGACATCTAAGCTGATTCCAAGTCTTGGCTATGGCAAATAATACTACAGTGAACAGGGAAGTACATGTAGCTCTTTGATGTACAGATTTTATTTTCTTTGCATATACCCAATGGGGGGATTGCTGGATCATATGGTAGTTTTATTTTTAATTTTTTGAGGAACCTCTATACTGTTTTCCATAATAGCTGCACTAATTACCACCAACAGTGTATAGGGTTCCTTTTCTTCCACATACATGCCAACAATTGTTCTCCTTTGTCTTTTTGGTAATAGCTATTCTATCTGGAGTGGGGTGACCTCTCATTGTGATTTTGATTTGCATTTCCCTGAGGATTAGTGATGCTGAGCACCTTTTCCTATACCTGTTGGCTATCCGCACGTCTTCTTCTGAGAAAGTCTATTAACATCTTTTACCCATTTTTAATGGGGTTGTTTGGTTTTATACTGTTGTTGTTTAAGTTCCTTATGTTTTGGAACATATTCATATTCCTATATGTTGTTTAAGTTCTTGGATATTAACCTCTGTCAGATGAATAATTTGCAAATATTTTCTCCCATTCTGTTGTCTCTTCACTCTGTTAATTGTTCCTTTGCTGTGAAAAAGCTTTTCAGTCTGATGTAATTTTGAGATCTTGCCTTGCCCAAT